TTGTACAGCGATAATAAGTAGAGATTATAGTAAAGTCATAGAGAGCATGAGAGTTAAAGGATGGAGTCAAGTAATGGAGTCAGACGCAATTCATGGTAACATCGCTCACCTCAGCCCCGCTTGATGGTCCTCGTGGAGGGGACTTAGCCGTCAGAGAAGAAGCCGCTGCTTCGTCCTCCTTAGTCACCTTCTCCAGCCACCCTCTCGAGAACCAGGGAGTCTCCTTATTTATTGCTAACCACGCATCATATTACTTTAGGGGGATACATCACAGCATTATGCGTCACAGAGAAGGGCAGTACAATTCATCCTTGAACAGGTTTGATCATTCTGGTGTCTCATACAATAAAACCGACAACTACTATTCTGGGAGGCATGCAAGTCCCCTGATAGCGGACAATAACCTAAGTCACCGGGAGGGGTAGTAGCATAGGCAATACAATCAATAGGAGGGGGATGACCTAGGGGTGAATGTGCAATAGTAAGAGGAGGGAATAGGGGGACATGTGTGGCAAGATAGTAGCCTAAGCTTAGTCATCTTAGAGTGGTCCCGGGCTTGCCTATGGGCACTGCTTCGAGGGAAAATAACAAAAAGGAATGGGCCCTATTTGTTGTGGGATAAGCAGCTTGATCTAGACAGCTGATACCTCTCAGTGAGAATGACTCCCAATCCACTCTTGATGGCTGATGTTAGGGAGAATAACCTCTGACCTACTTTTGCTGCTTAGTGAACAATTATTTTCAAGCTAAATCTGGCATACATTTTGGGGAGACAACTTAAGAGAAATCCCTCTGTTCCTCACAATGCCCGGCCTAGGGACGGACCCAGGATTGGGTGGGGTCCTGGGGAACAGCCCAGGACTGGGCTGGTCTAGTGCAGGGGTTGGCAACCTGTTGAGCCAGAAGAGCCAATCCTGTCCCTCATAACAATTTAAAAATGATTTGAAAGCCATAAATATGTTTTTACAAACAAATGAAATCACCCTTATCTGAATAATATCCTTTAAAACATTTCAGTTTTACTTGACAGCCACATGTGCTTGCCAAAAGAGCTGTGTAGACCTCTCGCGCCGCAGTTTGCTGACCCCTGGCAGATGAGCATCAGACAAAAGAAGTCATGTCCACGGGAGTTAAGGGCAGAATGCTGTAAGAAGGGAGGGCCTGGATAATAATTAGGCAGGATAGAGAGGCTATGAACATCACCCATAACAGCGTGTTAGTAGTCTGCTCGCCTAAAGGTAATGCCTAGTGGGAAGAGGCCATAGGATAACTCTTCTTGGCTTCTTTCTTTGGGATGGTTTAGCTGCACTGAAGGCCAGGGACGGACTGACGGGCCAAGCTGGAACCAACCCTCCACTTCTTGCCCTTAAGTCAACTGTGACTCGAATCAAGCCTGTAGGCCAGGCGTCGAGCGCCCCTGTGGGTTTCCGAGGCTAGAAATCTTTATGGAAGCAGAAAGCCTCATCTTTCTCCCTCAGAGAGGTGGGTGGTTTCAAACTGCTGATGGGGTGGTTAGTAGCCCAACGCATAACCCAATATGCCACCAGGACTCTGAACCAACACTGAGAGATGGGTAATTCTTTTTCCTGGCAGTATATGCATCATAAAGAACTGAGATGAAAAAAATCACTCAATTTTAGTTTCTAACATTGACCAGTCTGAAAATGCAAAAATGATCGATAGGTACAGGTTTTTTTGTGTGCAGGCTTGAAGAAAGCGATATTCCTAATAAGTCTAAAAGTAGCCCAAATGGCGCTGTCAAGTAGCCAGTGGATGGCAAACTGCAGGGTTGGTGGTTCAAACCCGCTAACTGATCTGAGGAGAAAAAAACGAGGCTATCTGCCCTGGTACAGATTCACAGCCTTGGAAATCCTCTACAGAGTCAGGGTCAACTCGATGGCAGTGGATTTGGGTTTAATGAGCCCAAATAAGTTTTAGGAGCATTAAATATTATCAAAACAGAATAACATAAATATATATAATCTGCTCTCCGTATCTGTGGGTTTCACATCTTATGATTCAACCAACCCAGATTGAAAGTACTCTGGGTTGGGGGACTTGGGGGTGGGGTGGGAAACAGTTAAGTGGTCACAACAGTTCCTGAAAGGCAAGAGGGAGCCATAGCATCTGCATTATATTAGTTATAAGTCACCCGGCAGTGATTTAAAGTATATGGAAAGAGGGGTGTAGTTTATATGCAAACACTACACCATTTCCTCTCCGGGACTTGAACATCTGGATTTTGGAATGGCGGGAGAGAGGGTCGTGGAACCAACCCCTTATGAATGCTAAGAGCTGACTGTATTTGCAGTCCAGGAACGCACATCATTTAATACAAATTCATACCAGGTCTTTCTAAAGTACTGAAGAGCTGGAGGAATACCAAAAATTCTAAATTTATGTAGTTAAATTATGTCAGTAGAAACTGGAAACGTGATGCAGGAACACAAGACCTTTTTTTTTTTTTTTTAGATTTAAGGATTCTTAAAAAAATTTTTTTTAAAGGATTCTTCTAAATTTTTATTACATTTGATTACAAAATGAGGAAATCACCTAGTTATTACTGACAACCTCACATCAGAGTACAGGCACTTAGGAGACTTCCTGAAGCTGGGAACACAAGATTTTTTTTGTTGTGGATTTTGAAACTTGAAAGCATGTATTTAAAAAAAAAAGAGGTTTAGGGTGACTTTATATTTATTTGTATATCTTTAGTGTTTTAATATGTTTTTTCCCCCTGTAAGATGCTTAAATATTTTGGTTTAAAATAAGTAAAAATAAATTCAGTTTTGTTTTTGTTTTATTCAACAGGAAAGAGTGTTTAAAACTAATGAAGTATCTTTTACAACAGCTGAAAAAAAAGTTTGAAAACCGAAGAGAACTGGACAAATTCTGTTCTTACCACGTGAAAACGGCCTTCTTTCACATTTGTGCCCAGGACCCCTGTGACAGCCAGTGGCGCTTCAAGGACCTGGAGCAGTGCTTTGAGAACTGTGTGTCACACTTCCTTCAGTGCCTCCAGACAGAGCACCTGACCCATTACTTCATTCCTGGGTTCAATCTCTTCTCGCCAGACAAAATTGAAAAAGCAAATAAAGAATTTCTGCTAAGGCAAATTGAATATGAAAGAGACAACGGATTTCCAGTTTTTGGGGAATATTGAAATTATAACTTTAAAAAGGATTTTAGCTATAGAGTGACTTTTAATAATTAAAATGTTTTAAATTGTCACTGCAATGATGGACTGATAGGAATATAAATTATTATTCTCTATTTGTCTTAATATGTTGATTACCTGAGAAAGAGATTCATCAACGAATGAGAAGCTAAAACTCGTTGCTGTGAGTCAATCCTGACGCCTGCAGACGTGTTACAGAGCAGAACTGCGTCCAAGGCTATCTCCCCTCTCACCTTTCCTGAAGCAGTTCAAGTGCCCCAGGCCTTTCTGCAGCAGACCTGCTGGGTAGGTTCAGATCATCAACCTTCAGGTTAGCATTTGTTCACAAATTGCATCAACTATGAACCGTCAAAAAACCCCAACGACAAAAAACCAGACTCCAAATCCGCTGCCATGAAGTCAATCCTAATTCAGTGACCCTATTGGACAGAGTACAACTGCTCCTTCAGGTTTCTGAGACAACATCTTTACAGAGCAGACAGCCTGTCTTTCTTCCGCAGAGCCGCTGATGAGTTCGAACCACCAACCTTAAAGTTAGCAAACCAACGCTTATTGGCTTCACAGCCAAGACTCCTTCGAGAAGTCCAAGCAGTATGTAAAATCCAAAAATTGTACCAGATTGGAATTTGAAAAGGACCAATATGGATTTGTTTAATTAAACTCATCTACACTTCCTACCATTGCATTGGTAAACCTGCTGCCCAAGACCTCTTTGAAGTGCTGAAAAGCAAGGATGTTACTTTAAGGACTAAGGTGTGCCTGACCCAAGCCATCGTATTTTCAGTTGCCTCATATATGTGTGAAAGTTAGACATTGAATAAGGAAGGTTGGGGGAAAAGCCATACATTTGAATCATGGTGCTGGCGGAGATTATTGAAAGTACCAGGGACTACCAAACAACAAGCACCTTTGTCCTGGAAGAAGTACAGCCAGAATGCTCCTCAGAGACAAGGATGGCAAGACTGCACCTCACATAATTTGGACATGTTATCAGGAGGGACCAGTCCCTGGAGAAGGACACATGCTTGGCAAAATGGAGGGGCAGCAAAAAAAGAGGAAGGCCCTGGACATGGTGGGTGTCCATAGTGGCTGCAAGAAAGCTCAAACAAGAATTGTGAGAATGGGGCAGGACTGGGTGGTGGTTCATTCTGTTGTCTATGAGTTGGAACCAACTTGATGGCGCCTAACACTCAGACGGTTGCAAGGAACAATGATAGTAGCAGACTCTGTTGAACAAATATATTTGGAAGCAATGTTCTGTTCTAAATGCTTTGATATATAAAAGAGTAAGGAAGAAAATAAGTTCTAAGCTGTCTCTGCTCCCAGAATGCAGTTTTATAAAGATACAGGATAAACTCAACTCACTGCCAATTCTAGCGACCCTGTAGGTGAGGGTAGAACTGCCCCTGTGGGTTTCTGAGACTGACTCTTCACGGGAGAAGACAAGGTAGAAAACCTTGTCATTCTCCCAAGAAGTGGCTGGTGGTTTTGAACTGCAGACCATTTGTAACCATTGGCAGCCTAATATGTAACCACTACATCACCAGAGTTAAAGTACATCATTTATTTTATCTTAATTGTTTTTTGGTAACTTTTCCGAAAATTCATATAAACACTAAGGGTGTGGTTTGATCACTGAATAACAAGGGAGTTGGGGTGTTAACCCCACACACAATAAAAAAGATACATATAACTTAAGAAAAACCAAAACATTTTATTGTGAAGTAAGTGAAGGTTTGCAGAGCAAGCCATAGTTTTACATTCAACACTTCCTACACATTCAGATTCCTGTCGCTGCAATGCCCTCAATCCCATTTCCTCCTGTGCTTCCTGCTTCCATCCCCCCATCTTTGCTAACACTCAGAACTCTGCCTTTCAGTAAACGCTGCCCTTCTCTCACTGGTTGATTTTCCTAATCAGTTCCAGACCAGAAGGTTCAGGGTCTTAGTATTGGATTTCCCACTAGTCTATCTGGCCAGTAAGCCTGCTCTCTTTTATGAAGTTCTGTTCCACATATTTTCACTGAATCCAGGGCCTTCCATGTGATCCTTTTGAGAGCAGTTGGTGGTGGTCACCAGACACCATCTAGTTCATAGGCTTCCAAACCTATAATACTGTATCGTCTACTGTGCCTTTTCTGAAAAAGAACCACTTGGCACCCCCCTGGCAGAGAAAATTCGACTCCAGCGCCTAATCCAGGGCAAAGCGCAGGTGTCTGCTTTTGCAACTCCCGGGTGCTTAGATTAGGGAAACGCTGCTCTCTTCTGGGCTCGGGGTGGTGGAGCCGTTTCGTTGATGTTTTTGTTGTCCATTAGTTCACTAGAGCCGTGTAACTTGGCTCCACTAACGCTTAACTACGGATAGTCTACTGTTGACTGAAGCTTTATAACAACAGTCCATTAATGAGTATGTTGTATTATATACTGCCCCCAGTATATACTGTATTATATACTGCTCTCAGTATATTGCGTTCCTTGTGACTGCCTGAGTTGATTTTAGCAATTTAGGCAAAGCTAACGTGGTCAGTTCTGTGAATTTTCAGATTGGCTGACAGGATTTGTGACAAGCTTACTTACACATGACTCTCTGGGCTGTCTCAGTACTCCCAAGGCATGGGGAGCTATTCCTCCACCACTCCTCCCATCTGACCTCACAGAAACCTTTCTATCTGGTCTTACTGAAAAGGAGCAGCTTTGGGTTTTCCGTGAAATGTTTTCTAATCCTTGTGTGGTTTTACCTTTATTTCCTCTCTGCTGGGTTCTAGTTTTAATCTCCTTGTTGCTAATGACAGGAAGCTATTACTGCACGAATGCGCAATGTCAGGTGAGGTGGTGAGGGACTAAACTTACTACACATACCCATAAACACACAGAGGCAATTCTGAAAAAATGTAAGTAGACATCATAAAAAGAGGGACTTCAAAAAGTTTGTGGAAAAATTCCATTATCTTTTAATTCAATTTTTCCATGAGCATTCAGGGAAAGATGAGGGTGAATGTGACCAAGCTTTCATGGTCAAGATGGTTTGTGTTCCTAGGATTTATTTTCGCATGTAACTCTAGCTACAAGTTGAAAGAAAAGCAGCTTTTGTTTATTTTGAGCCTGAAAAATAAATATTTTACTGTTTCAAAGTTTCTTTGACATAAGTAGATGAAGTGTAATCATTTAAGAAAATACAATGATTTAGAAAACAGGAGGGTGGGGTGGGGGGGATAAGGATATCAAGGGTTCAAGTAGAAAGAAAATGTTTTGAAAATGGTGATGGCAATGTGTATAAATGTGCTTGACACAACGGATGTATGGATGGGTTATGATGAGAGCTGTATAAGCCCCCACTAAAATGATAAAAAAATTAAAGGGTCATACAGAAACACAAAAAGACTTGTTTATCATAGAAACGAGTATTTATTTGGTAACAGTAACTATCTCACTTCCCCAACAACATCTGAACAAGAACAATACAGTATTACAGGAGACTATTTTACTTTTTGGGTTTTCTCCGTAAAAAGGTTGAAATGAAATAAACACTTTGTTATACATCCATTAAAAAATGTTTCACTCTAAACACTTTTGATTTTATTAAAGAAAGTATAAAATATTGAATTCTACATTTTAAACACTATTATTTTAAGAATCAGTCAAATCTCTTCATACTGCCAGCATGTTGCCAATATGTCCATGACTTAAATAACAAATTATCTTATAAAAATCTTGAATCCTGAAAAATAAGTAGGACAAAATGTATATTTCAGTTTCTGTCATTTTTTGATTTTTAAGTAAAACTTTCAAAGGGTAAATATTAGATATAGACACAACTGCTGTTAGATTTTTAAAATTAAGGAGCCTAATTTGCACATATTCATATGTATGTACTAAATACATACAAAGCAGACCAGGAACTTTCCTATTAATATTTTCTCTTATCTCAAGAGGCATTATGTGATTAATCTTGTCAAATCTCACAACATACCAATTCTCTTCAGCTGACTAGTCTTATTTCTTTTATGTATTTAAGTTCAAGTACTATTTTTAAATTCTAGTCAAATCCTTTTTTCCCCTTTTCAACTTAATTCAGCATTTCAGTCAAACACTAGTATGATTTACTGTGTAATGTTATTGAGCTATAAGCCCATCTTACAATTCAGTAGCTCGGTGATCAAGTGTGGCTTGAAATGGCGTCCTCAGTGTTGCCCACACTGGGTCACGAGGTCGTGGTTTACATCTATAACTAACATGTTCGGGTACTATTGCTATGAGTGGAATAATTGCTAGATCCATTGGATTTCAGCTATTCTTGGACGCTTTTCAAATCAGCCTCTGCCTGCGGCTCAGTCCTGGCCAGGGTAGAACTGAGCCTTCCTGGGAGCTTCTAGTTCACTACAGTGATAACACCAAGCTTGTTCCACATTCCTCTGCAAACACTGAAACGTTGGAGAACTGAACTCATTTTTCTCTTAAGAAGTAATAGAAAAACAATTGGTTCTGACTCCCCCCCCCACCCCATTACACTTATGAAGTCATTTTCCCAGGACTTTAAGTCACAGCGGAGTCTTCCAGCTTTCTACCCTGTCTCTGCCTCGGATGTGCTCTCACCACCAAGTTGTCACTGATTTATCCAAATTATCAGTAACTTTGCAGTCTCTGGTCATCGGGGTTGTTTGTTTCGTGGGTAAGGATTTCACACCTTTCGTTAAATTAGCCCCTTTACTCACTGTTTTCACCTGCGGGACATTTAGGTGGTTGTCTTTTGCTGCTACAAAAATTGCCCTTACAAATCTGTATGTGCAATATTCCTAGCAGAGCAATTCCTGATAAAAGATTAGATGTACGTGCAATAGGTTATCTAATTATTTTCTAAAGAGGTTATACCAATTATACCTCTCCCGACTCTAATTTTTGGTACAATTTGAGTTTACTCTCAACTCTAAATTTATACTAAACTAAATAACTCTTAAACCTAAATAAGATATTTTAAGAAGAACATTTGTTGAGAAACAATTCCCAGATTGATGGAATGAAGCAGATCAACAAAACGGTGAGAGCGAATAAATAAATAAATAAATAAAATGGAGAGAAAGCAGACACTTGAGTCTCTGAGCTAGTTATTTAAGTTTTACCTCTAGTGGTCTGGTGCCACTTTTCAATGGTACCACATTAATAATAAAACTTCTGGGGTTTTCCTGGAGGTCTTCCTAATTTTTTTTCCATTTCCTTTTTCTGTTTATTTGCCTTATATCGCTCAGCCATTGACACAAGATCCTCTGGAACATTCTGAAATCATTAAATGTGTTGATAAAGATTCTGAGTATTTTCTTTTACCATCATTACACAGTAAGTTAATGTGCCTCCAAATTCCTTCAGCCCGAGAAAGCTATATAACTACCCGATGACGTTTTATGTCTGTCAGAGAGAGTGAAACTTGTTGCCTTGCGTGTTAATTCTTGAATCCATCTTCAGGTTATAAAATCATGGGGACAGGAAGGGAGAATCAATCCCAATGATCTACACATAACACCACCTGCCACACGCCCCTCCACCACCTCGGGCCAAACAAAAGAAGTGTGGGTGTAAGATATGAAAATGATAATTATACTTTATCAAGGGTTCAGGAGGGCAGGAAAGGGAGGGAAAAAGGGCTGATACCGAGGGCTCAAGTACAAAGTAAATATTTAGAAAATGAATGATGGCAACATATATACAAGTATGCTTGATACAATTGGTGTATGGATTGTTATTAAGAACTGTAAGAGCCCCCGATAAAATGATCTTAAAAAAAATCAGACCGATCTTAAAAGCACCAATCACTACGTTACGCTCTTGCTTGTCCAGCTCTGCAGTTGCTGCCAGTGCCCGGTACGCGCAGTCTCCCTGCTTGGGCCTGCTGGTTCCCTCTGCCTGCTGTGTTCTCCCCACCTTCCAGGGCTCCTACCTCCACTTCACCTAGGCCTCCCCCAGCAAGGTATTTGCTCAGATTCAACTGTCTAGCAATAGGCTCCGACAGCTCCTCACCCTTGCCAGGCCACGGCCCTCACAGCACGTGTCACTGTTCGGGATCAGTCTTTCCCGAGAGGCAGGACGCTCGCGCCGTGAGGGCAGGGAGCTTTTCTGCGGTGACGGCCCCGTCACCGGCAGAAGCAAGTCGATGAGCCATTGCAGAAGTGAGAGTGCCGCAGCCTCACCTGGTTTGCTCGTTCCAGAATATTAATCAACTCAGTGGCAACCCTCCAGTCATTCCTGGTGATGAGAGTAATTGACACACCGCTTCTCCTTGAGGTGGGAGCAAAGAAAACAATGCATGTCACCCGTCTGTCTTACCTCTGGCCTTATGATTTAGTGAGCAACACAGCAGCAGCAAAAAGTTCAACTCGCTCACACAAATCCAAATATTTATTATGTATTAAGAATGAAGGTCACATAAACCCATTTGGAAAGCAAATGTTGTGGAACTGTATAAAACAGCAGGGGGGAAAGGACAGTCCTCTCTCGGATGCGTGCTAACTCAGAGAAGTTGTTCACAATGTTCAGGACAGCTGTGGGGGCAGCTCAATATGCTGACACAATGGGATTGAAGTAATGAGTGGACTCAGAATCTCCTCCGTGAAGCTAATCGTGGAGGAATCTGGCTGAATCAAGCAGAGCAGTTGGACAGGGATCGAGCAGCTCACAGAGGCTCTGGAGAGAAGTAGACAATTCCCAGAACAAGAGAACAACATGGGTTTCCCCAGCCAGGGCAGTGTGTAAGGTAAGTAATGGGAAGGATTGGAAGTCCACTGTTAAGGGTAGACTGTGCTTACTCACCCTGCTCTTCCAGTGCGCCCTACTCTGTGGATATATTCTTCAATGTTCCGAGGAAAATCATAATTATAGACATGGGTGACGTCATGGACATCAAGCCCTCGAGAGGCTAAGTCAGTAGCAATCAGTATTCTCACTTTACCTAAAGAGAAAAGCCAAGTGCTGATAGATATATTCTAGTATAAACCAACCTAAAACAGCTATGAAAAATAGATTTACCCTTCTTTAATCAGATGAAACCTTATTGCTTAGATTAACATGCTCACTAAGATACCAAATATGGGAAAGGAATACTTAGTGTCCTTTTCCCCCTAAACTACTGGTCATTTATGACACAACAGATATTGTAATTTAGCAAATGGCCCCCAAACCTCAAAAATTTCAAGAACTAATATATAACTTAATGCTAAAAAGCTACTATTTAAAAGACTAGAATAGTCCTGGCTCAACATGGTTTTGGAGAAGAAAGTGGAAGGGGGACCAGTTACTCAAAATGAAAAAACACCCTAGGGACCGTGAGTCAGTTAGGAAAGAGCAGAATGCCAGAGCCGTCCGGGACATTCACATTTTATCTGGAGATCTGGGATTATTTGGATGCTCTCTATTGTGAGAAAATAAGAGTCATCATGAGTGCTGTTTTCAAGTAATCCAAACGAAGCCCCCCAAAGTCGTAAGGAAATATGAAAAATTCTGGCACACACAGATAAAATTCACATGTGGGGGCATGCAAACCACCAAAAAGAAAAAAAGGAAACAAAAATATGATTTGTAACTAAGAGGAAAAAAAATCAGAAATTACACCAATAATAAAAACCCAATATCTAAACTCAACGTCATCAAATAGAGTCTGACCCATGGCAACCCTTCAGGGCACAGGAGAGCTGTTCCGTGCACTGCTGAACATTTTAAACATTTGTACTGAGCCACAGTTAACATACAACCCAATAGTGCAGTCGCATCAAGAAGGGCTGTACCATCACCGCCATCATCGCCTTTCGAACCTTTTCTTCCTTCTTGTGCTCACATATATTGACTCCCTAATCCCCCCACATTCTCTCTGAGACTGCAATTATTTCCCCCCCAACAGTTTTACTGGCATATAATTCACGTATCTTACAATCCAATTGTTCAATCACATCAAGAAGAGTTGTACAATCACCACCACCATCAGTTTTAGAAGGTTTTCTTCATTCTTGTACTCACTGCTATTAGTTCCGCATTTACCCCCAACCTCCCTGCCACACCCCAAGGAACCACTAATCCAGTTACTGAGACTGCAACTCTTTACCAGGGTACACAGCCTCATCTTTCTCCCACAGAAAGGCTGGTGGGTTTAAACAACCGACCTCCGGGTTAGCAGCCTAACATGTAATCCGCAGTGCCACCAGGGCAGATACCATAGCTATATTCCATATGCTCAAAGAGGGAGAAAAAGCATGAGAGACAAGACAGAAGTCAAACTTCTGGAAATTACAACAAACAATGTTTAGGATGAAAAATACAACGGGTGAGATGAAGAGATTATGCAGAAGAAAAAGATCATTATTCGAATTTGAAGCAGACCAATAAAAAAACTAAAAAGTAAAAGAAAAAGGACTGAAAATAATAAACCGAACACCAGTGAGCTGTCAGACAACACCAAGCAGCCCAGTAAATATGCAATGAGGAGAGTTCCTCCCAGAGCGAGGGAACAGGAGAAAGATTGGGAGAAACAAGGACCAACACTTTTCCAAATATGATACAAATTACAGTTTTATAGTTCCAAGGACTTCAGTAAACTCTATGCAGAAAAAAACACGTGGGTATATCATAATCAAAATGTTGAAAATCAATAATAAATATTAAAGTAGACTGTGATAAGTTAAAGATATATACCACAGACATCAAAACCACCATTAAGGAAAAAAGCAAAGTATCACTAATAAGATAATAAGAGGAAATGGAATCACAAAAACACTCAATCCAAAGAAGGTACAAAAAGAAAAAGTCATATGAGAAAGATGGGATAAAAAACAAAGAGTATACAGAGGGGTATCGGGGAGGCAACAAGCCAGTCAGGGTGCAGTGTAGCAACGATGAAACACACAACTTTCCTCTAGTTCCTAAATGCTTCCTCCCCCACCCCCCCAATCATGATCCCAATCCTATCTTACAAATCTGGCTAGACCAGAGGATGCACACTGGCACAGCTAGAACTGGAAACACAGGGAATCCAGGACAGATGATCCCTTCAGGACCAGTGCGGAGAGTGGCAATACCAAGAGGGTGGAAGAAGGTGGGGTAGAAAGGGGGAACCAATAACAAGAATCTACATATAACTTCCTCCCTGGGGGATGGAGAACAGAAGAGTGGGTGAAGGGAGATGTTGGGCAGTGCAAGATATGACAAAATAATAATAATTTATAAATTATCAAGGGTTCATGAGGGATGGGGTTGTGGATGGTGGGAAAAAAATGAGGAGCTGATACCAAGGGCTCAAGTAGAAAGCAAATGTTTTGAGAATGATGATGGCAACCAATGTACAAATGTGCTCGACACAATGGATGGATGTATGGATTGTGATGAGTTGTACGAGCCCCCAATAAAATGATTAAATTAAAAAAAATGATGACAGCAAATGTACAAATGTGCTTGACAATGGATGGATATATGGATTGTGATGAGTTGTACGAGCCCCCAATAAATTTATTATAAAAATAAATAAATAAATAAATAAAGAGTAGCTAAAGGTAGAAATTAAAGTAAAAGCAAGTGAGAAACTATAGAACCAGGGCTGCCAGTGGGCGGTGGGGAGAATGAGGGATAGAAGAAAACACCGGGACTGTCACCCACAGCCTGCTGCACACCGGGTGCTCAGAATTTAAGCTCTAGCACGAGATCTAGATGCTAAGGTTAATAAACACATACAAAACCCCATCATGATGAATCCTTATGACATTAATTCCTTATGACGTGAAAACAACCTAATTCTCAAGGACACATTACGAAACCAACAATTGAATTCACAAGCACATTCGGGTTATAAAATCAAAACTGAGTTCTTAAAAAAAGAAAAATATACACGTACATTTTCTAATTTATAACACCACCCAGAGACATATTTTAAAATAAATGTTGTGCTTTAGATAGGCCTTGTTATATCATTCAAAAATATTAATAATGCTTAAATAAAGAACTAAAACACCAGGACATTTTTAGGGTGATAGAAATGACTATCTTGATTGTAGTGAGTTTCATAGATGCATGGACATGTCAAACCCAAACTGTGTATTTTAAATATGTATAGTTGTGTATCTGTCAGTTTTACCTTAATAAAAACATAAAAAAGATACAGTCAGCATCTATGATATGCTTCAATCAAAACACTGAGGTGAGGGTGGCCCTGGTTACTGCTGCAGTGAAGGGGTAATTCCTGGAGGAAACATTCCTTGAGCAGTAGATTGCCTTCTCTCAGCTTCCTTGCTTACCAAGCAGGTTTTGGAGTACTCTCATCTCCCAGGTATCGCATCACAAAGGGATATGCTTCCCAGGTAAAGGACTAGAGGGCTCCTCCCTGAAAAGACCGTGGTCCTCCTGTGAACACGTGTCTTTTGTGAGCGTGGCTAGTTTGAGTCTCATAAACAGAGCTCTAACTCGGGGATCTGCAAAGCTGAGGACAGATCTTAGAAATGGATTTGTCCCTTGGCCAAGTCCAGGTACTGGACAGATTTGTAAGCTGCAATGGACAGTGATTACACAAACGCACCTGTTTTAAAGTTCTCCAGCGCTTTCTCTCGATCGCTCTGTTCCCTGTTGCCATGAAGAGACTCGACTGACAGGCGGTGGAGGATCAGGTCACTTGATAAGTGATCAGCACTGAAGCAAAAGAAAGCCAGTGACCTACGTGCTGTTCAAGGGCCATCACTGACTCACTAGTTTTAGTTCTAGTGCCAAGAGTCTGAATTACAAATGCTGCAACAGACACACCCATCACCATTTGTATATCGAGTTATAATCAGTATACAGACATAAGTCATCCCAAACAAATTCAATTTGATTAATGATTGTAACAGAATCAAAGGAAAAATACCTACACTGCCTTTCTGCTGACAAACACAATGACTTTGTCCTTGGGAGACATGCTCTCTAGGAAAATCTGAATATGACTGCGCTTTTCTTCCTCTGTGGTAACAATTATATTTTGCTTCACAGTACTTACAGCCTAAGAGATTAAAAAATTAGGATACATTACTATTGAGGCAGGAATCACATATACCAGCCCCAGCCCCAGATTACCTCTTATTTCTATCACTGGAGAAGGTTTTAATAAACTTAACAGGTCAAAAGGCAGAGGTCTTGAAAGAAACTGGCTACTACAGAAAAAGATAATAACCACAGGATACAGCCAGGCTTATCAAAACTATAATCTTGAGTTTGGGATATTGTCCTTCCAACGAAAGAAGACAATCAGTTCATGATACAGTCTCAACACAATTATTATTTTAGCAATTTAATTACATAACATTGGTACCATTCTTTAAATCATAAAGAAATAAAATGTTGTCTCTTTAGATAAAATAGTACTTCTATAATAGTGTAAGAGGAAAGGATTATACTTGGCAGGAAGAATTAGAGGACGGATTTTATTTGGCAACCCCTGATGAAATCTTGAAACCCCCAGTGAAAAACTTTAGTCGCGGATTTCATTTTACTAGGATCCACACTCAATCCTCAAGGCAGTGGTAGTCAGGAAATCAAATTACATTGGAGAAACCCCTTTAAAGTGTTAAAAAGCAAAGCTGTCCCTTTGAGGACCAAGGTGTGCCTGACCCAAGTCATCATATGTTCACTGCCTCGTATACATGTGAACGAGGACGATAACTAAGGAACACCACAAAAAGAACTAGTACATATGAATTTTTGACTTGAAAGAAGTACAACCAGAATGCTCCTTAGAAATGCGGATGGTCAGACTTCATCTCATATCCGTGAGACATGCTATGAGGAGAGAGCACACCTGGAGAAGGACATCATACCGGGTGAAGTGGCCACACTCACTGCTATTGAGTCAATTAAGTATCTGGTAAAGTAGAAGGTCCGCACAAAATAGGAAGACCCACAAGGAAATAGATGACACGGTGGCTGCAACGATAGGCTTCAACATAACAACTGTTTTGAGGCTGGCACAGGACCGGTACAGGGTTTCCTTCTGTTGTACACAGAGCTGCTATGAGTGGGATCAACTCAATAGCAGCTGACCACAACTGCAATCAATAATATCATGGAGTTAGACAATGATCCCCATTAGGTCAAAGGCCCTCAGGACTTAACATATAGAGGGTAGACTGGAAACATCCGAACCCACTGATGTTAAGATTTTACCATCACAGAGAAGGTCGGACTTATATTCCTTTTGAAATGATGCAAAACAAGGAAACATCATTACCCATGGAGAATTTTTGTAAAAAGAAAACAAATTAAAACCCAGGATTTAATCAAGTTTCTATATCTAATTACCATTTACAGAAAATTTAGGAATAAAAAGCATACTCAAAAGCCGTATGGGCATCAGCAAAATCCAGGATAACTGTATAGACAACAACAGATTCAACCCCAGTCAACAGACACGCACACACAACGTGGGAGATCTGCAGATTAGAGAGTAAGAGACATAACAAGCAAATATGCAGAATTCCCTTCGACTGATGCAGAGCTACTGTATTAGAAAAATATGAACACTGATTGGACATTTGATGTTACTAAAGCATACTAAATGTTTTAAGGTGAGTTAATAGTTAATAGTACTGTGGTTATACACACCATCTTTTAGATAGAATTACATGCACCTAGGATTTGTTTTAAAATTGGTGAGTGGCCACAGCACACATGTCAAAACCGGTGGTGTTTAAAATGTCCTTAAGGAGTGTTTTTGAAAACCAAACAAATAAACTTACAACTAGATCCAAGGTGCCAACGTATACAATCATGGGGTCTCTCAAATAAGACTCTGCAAGTCGACGGACACCAGGTGGCCAGGTTGCACTGGAAAGCAAGCAAGATGCACACACATTAAAAATGTATTGCACATGAACCATGTTCACTCAAAGGTTCCTTCTGTGTTCTACAAACCAATCATTCATGAAAGACAAGTCGTAGTACTTCTTATCTTTTCAGTAGGTAGATGTTACATACAATTTAAATTCCACCAAGAATTGTTCAAGTACAATGAAGCTACTGGATGAAATGTTTTAAATAAGTAGACAGAGGTTGAATAAACAATAGATGAAGGAATCATATAATATATGGAGAGATAGTAGAAGGAATTCTAGTGTTAGATTTGTTTTCTCTCTGACTCCTAACTTACCAAGCTTCATACAACAGACAAAATCACGTGTATGTCAATTGTCAATTAAATATCCTTCAGATGTGATTAAAAATCTGTGCAAATTCATAGACAGAAAAAATGTTTCTTCAAACTTATACAGCATAATAAAGTTGATAAAAATGCCTTTGTAATTTAACTTCACTGTTCTTGAAAGACTATTTAGAACTCCAGGTGTGGGAACTTGGTATATTTCCACAATTGCATAGTCGGCAGTTTGAAACCACCAGGGGCTCTGTGGACGACAAAGCTTTCCACTCCCATAAAGAGTTACAGTCTGGGAAACTCACAGGGGCAATTCTACCCTGTCCTGTAGGGTTGCTCTGAGTCAGAACTGACTCCAGGGCAGGCAGTTTGCTTATCACTATTGTTTCTAATGCTGACAAACACAAGGGTGTAGGTTCAGGAGAAAGTCAGTCTTTAAGGATCCGTCAGCATCCAAACAACAATCATTGCTTCCTCAGTTTTATCTTGGGCAAAAACGTATGCAGTACTCAAATGTGTCCAAGTAAAGGTGATCCTCACTGATTTCAATGTTAGACTCTTCCATGACACACAATCTCCCCGTAAGGAATTCCTTTAGGTGCTTCTATAAGAATTGTATCTCCCCCTCCCCAAGGGGACAAACAACAATAACGTGGACAAAGGGAGATAGCAGGCGGTGTAAGATATGAAAATAATAATAATAATTTATAATTTATCAGGAGTCCATGAGGGTGGGAGGAGAAAAAAAGAGGTGTTGATATCAAGGGCTCAAACAGAAGGAAAATATTTTGAAAATGAGGAAGGCAACATATGCCCAAATGTGCTTGATACAAATGATGTATGGACCGTTATAAGAGCTGTAATAGCCCCCAATAAAATGATTTATTTATAATAATAAAAAAGAAAAGAATTTTTTCTGTAATTTAGGAAACCCATTAGTCAAGAATAGAGCAATTATTGTCATACTACCACACTCAGATACTAAACCAAGTGATGACAAGTTAGCTTTCACTAAGGATCTCAAATACTTTCAACCAACACTTGAAAACATCAGAAAGCAACCAAGAAGAATAGAATTGTATTCCATTGATTTTTAAAAATTAGTTTCTTTGTAACAATTTCACAGTCATACTATTCACATGGGATACATTTCAGTACTTCAATCACATGCATAGCAGTGGTGCAGCCATTATCACCATCAATTACAGGGCATTTTTCTTCCTTGTCTCGTAAGCTCCCCAATTCCTGCCAGACTATCTTGGCACAGTCCTTTGAATCTATTAATCTAGTTGTTGTCTCTATAGCAGTGGTTCTCAACCTTCCAAATGCTGCGACCCTTTAATACAGTTCCTCATGTTGTGCTGACTCCCCCACCCATAAAATTATTTTTGTTGCTACTTCATAACTGTAATTTTACAACTGCTATGAATCGGGCAACCCCTGTGAAAGGGTCATTCAACCCCCAAAGGGGTCGCGACCCACAGGTTGCGAACTGCTGCTCTACAGGTTTACCTACATCTGCATATTTTCATCTGCAGAAAATCATACAAAATCAAGACAGGATACAAACAACCCAACAACAATGGCACAATGAGACAAAGTAAACCCTCAATTGATAACAAAGCAGAAAATATTAAAAACTGGAGCAATTATATATTCGGTCAAGAGGGAGATTGTGGCAGTTACATAATCGCCTATCAACTTGAGTGAAGGGGTGGAGTCTAGCCTGTCAATCAGGTAATATCCAATGAAGCCTCTGTGTGGGCTTGGCCTTCTCCTGATGATTCTGGGAACTCCTGTGTTCATCCCTGGGGCAGGACACACACACACTCTATGCTTGACATTCCTGTTAACAAGCTACATGGAGCCATACTGATGGCAGCCAGAGCCCTGGAGCTGGAGGAGCCACGTGGAGACCCACACCAGGGCTGAGATACATCCACTGCCACTGGACCCACCACTAGCCTGTGATCTTCCTGCATTCAGCATCACTGCTTGTGTTGTGTGAGTCTAAACAGGAATTTATGGACTAGTACCAGACATATGGGTTAATATCGGACTTATGGACTTGATCTGGACTGAGCTGGGATATTTTCTCAATATACAATTGCTCTACACTCGTGTGTAAGAGAGCTTTATATCTCTTACACACGATTTGTTTCTCTAGTCAAGCCAGACTACCACAGAGATCAAAGATAAGGTGTCACATTTGGACCTAAACATAACTGCAGTAATCCGCCCTGCGATGTATTCTGTCTGATGACAAGGACTTTCCCATCTCTGGTCCATAGAAGGGATTCATTAAAGCTTTAACCCAGATAGGGGACCCTGTAAATGGGGTTTGGGCTTTCACTGTCATCTGTAGCCTTCTGCTGCCAGTGTGTTTTAGAGAAAGTCTAAGGAAAAAAAAAAGATAAAGTCTAATTCACTGTGTTGGAGTTCAAAATCAGATCCTCTGGTCTAGTCTATGAGAGATGTTGTGTACCTCAAAAGGACAGAGCCTGAAGTCCTGGTTGTCTATAATAAACAACCTGGATCACCAAATGTTGAATACAAACTAGGTCAAAAGTGCTCGATTATATACATAATACCAAGCTTATTCCCCCTTGGTGTCTATATACTTAATGTTGAGTGTTTTCCCCAATGGCATACTGCCTCGCCCCATTTACCCATCAACCTAAGCATAGACACCTTCTCTAAGACTGATGTGCCCTTCGCCCTATCACCTCTTGACTTGGGTTTCCAGTAAGGCTCACTAACCACTCTTGTAAGAGTAACTGTTAATTTGAGATGATGGTAGACCACGTTATATGGCAGTAACTGATTGGTCTTTCCGTTCTCTTTGCATCATGGGAACCTGACCCAGTTGAGAAGAGGCCTTCTGTTAGAGTGGTTTTGAGATGTACAAGTAAGGGGGCGGTATGTAGGTCATGAGCTCCAAGTAGCATGTTACTCCTTCCCTGTGAGATTGGACTAGAAGAGTAGAAGAGGAGAGCAGAAGTCTACGTTTATCTTGGTGTTTATTTATATAGTTGTGGTCTCATACGTTATTTGTCCTTTTGTGATTGGCTCATGCCCTGGTTTCTATTTCACAGACAATAATTAGGTATTTAGAGTCCTGGTGGTATAGTGGTTACGAGTTGGGCTGCGATGTGCAAGGGCCCCAATTGAAAACCACCAGCAGTTTCACTCAAGAAAGATTGGACTTTCTACTCCTGTAAACAGTTACAGGCTCAGAAACTCACAGGGGGTCACTATGAGTCAGCATTGATTCAATGGCCCTGAGTTAAAATTACGTTTGTGCTTACCTTGTCATAATAGTCTGCCTGTCTGGACGCACATCTAATAAAATCTTCATTATCTGGGGTTCAAATCCCATGTCCAGCATCTTGTCTGCTTCATCTAAAACCTACATTAAAAATTAAGAAGGTGGCTACATTATGTTTTCTCTTTCTGAATACAACAGTTCACACAGGCTTTCTTATTCCCCATTAGCTATGCTGCAGAAATTAAATGAACTTCCCAATGCTCATGCTCACACAGGTGGCAACCAGCAGAGTTAGCGTCTGAGCTGCTTTAGTTCCAAAGCCCACACTTACGAGCACTTCATCAGTAGGTCCATTCTTGATGAAAAGTTCCATTTTTTAAAAACTTGAGAAGTCAACTAAGCCATCTATAGTTCTAAGTAGCATAGGTTGATTTTTATTTAAAAGTGTTCTTTATTGTTAACAAATCTATTTAATAAAAAAATGATCAAATGATTGAAATGGATTTTAATTTTTGGTGCTTGCTACATTTTCCAAAATGTCTAAAATAAATGTAAACTATATTTCTAAATCCTATTTTAACTTGCTAGGGGGAGTGGGAACTATTACCAGAGCCCCAAACAGGCATTCTAAAGAAGTAAAAGCTATACTAATACTCTCGGTCTTCTCCCTCCCAGCACCCCACGCCCCACTACCCATAATTACCAAATAGGTTACGCTTTTCAGGTTGACGAACTTATTCATTTGCAGATCATTCAATCGTCCAGGAGTGGCAATAATGATATCCACACCTTTTGTAAGGTCTTGGATTTGTCCATCTCTATCTCCACCACCATATATACATACACTTAATGACAATAACAAAAATATCCAAAGTTCACATGCATGCAAATAGCCCCTCACAACCCAGCATCCCAACCAGCGTAGGCACTTTGGGTATACAATCCTATAAAGGGCAACAGAAGAGAAACCTTAAAGAGGAGAAGTGACACCTCTGGTCCTACGGGGCCCTTTCTGATAATTATCTGTTACCATCAACTTCAGGGTTGGGCCACAAAGAGAGAAATTTTCTATCATTATTACCTGATTACAGAGAAATATCTGACCCACACTGAGCCAACCAGAGTCTCTAAAGAAGGAGGATGTATGAAAGGACAAGGAGCCCCGGTGGTATAGTGGGCTAACACAGACCTGCTAACCACAGCTGCAGCAGTTCAAACCCACCAGCAACTCCATGTGAGCAAAATGAGGCTATCTGATCCTGTAAAGATTTAAAGTCTTGGAAAGCTTAAGGGACAATTCTGCTCGGGATCGCTATGAGTAGCAATCGACTCAATGGCAGTGAATTTTAGAATTCATTAAGCTACAAAGATGAAAACAATCTAACATGGGTTCAGGAATGGCCAAGGAACTTGCTTACCTTTTCAGACCTTTATATGAATACTTAGAACATTCAGCTTCCACCTGAACAGCTAATTCTCTAGTAGGCGTAAGGACTAGCATGCCAGGTCCAAATCTTTTATCTCTAGCTCTTTGGAGAGAAAACAAAGTAATTAATATAAAATCCTCTGCCTCAGAAACACATGGGTTCAGTTCTTTTAACATTTGTAGCAATGTCAGTCATCTTTACACCTCTTGTAAGGTGTATAACAAAATGTTACCTAAATATACATAGACTTTGGTTTACGAATTACTGATACACCATGCCTAAAAAGAAAATATTTTAAGTAGTTGATATTAAGAAATGTCAATAAGCTTCCCCTTAAAATGTTTTAGCTATTTTCAAAGATTTAATTGAGATTACTTGATTTAAAAAACTAAACCCACTGCCATCAAGTCAATTCTGATTTGCAGCATGCTTGTAGGACACAGAACTGCTTCCCAGAGCTTCCAAGACTGTGTGTGTTTCTGGAAGCAGGCTTCCACACCTTTGTCCCCTGGAGTGGCCACAAGTTCAAATTGCTGACCTTTGGGTTAGCAGCTGAGCACTTAACGACTCTCTGTCCCCAGGGCTCCTTCATGTCCAAATAAGTTTCAATGAACATGGCCTTTATTTTCTGGTGGGGAGCATTCTCTTAGAGAATATGGCCCATTGGATGTACAACTAACATCGTTTGTACTTCCCTTTGTTCCCACTCTCAAAGCTTTCAGTGGGTATTGCCTGTTCCTGCCGCTAGAGCATTTCTGTCAATTTGTACTTCGTTTTTAATTTTATTAGTGATTTGGATGAAAGTTCACAGAACTAAATCGTTTTCCTTTTGTGTCCCTGGTGAAACCCCTACAATGTAACAGCGCTCCTTCTACTTCCTCATTTCCCATTTTCCTGCGTTCTTTTCTATCCCTGGCCTTCTCAGCTTTCTCCCTGGGGAAGTGCTGCCCCTTTGAGCTCCTATTGACTGTTCTCAGACAAGGGTCCGCAAACTGGTTCAAGAGTCATAGGCAGCATTTTTGTACATACATGTGGCTCTGAAGTAAATGTGAAAACATTGAAAGGATATTATTAAAATCAGGATTTCATTTGTTTGTAAAAATCATAAGAGGGTACCCATAAAAACCCTGGAATTGCACTTGGCAGAGTGGAGCTTTTGCATTTTTCCCAAGGAGAGCATGGAGCAATTTGCTTTGAGTTAGTGCATCATTGCTGTCACCTGGGAAGGGTCTCGCTGGTCACAGTGAATTTTTTCGTGAAAACAGTTTCACTTGAACCTCGTTTTCTGTGATGGCTGATTTTAAGAGAATGGCGTGCAGCTGGGAAATGCCGCAGAAACTGTTATGATATTGAACACAGCTTACAAGGACAGGGTTATGGGAAAAGCTCAAATGTACGAGTGGTTTTCTTGTTCCAAAAATGGTGAAATGTCAATTGATGACAATCCTCATTCTGGATATCTGTCAACTTCTCTCTTCCCGAATGATCGAAAATATTGACTCAAAAAAAAGAAAAAGAAAATGTTGACTTATAGTGCATGTGGAGTTCCTTCCAACAGGTCAAACTGTTAATCAAGCTTTCTATTTAGAGGTTCTGAAAAGATTGTGTCTAACAGTGTGTGACAAAAAAGGTTTGATTTGTGGCAGCTGGGGGACTGTTTTGCCTCCACAATGTACCTGTTCACGCAGCCATCTCAGTGCACCAGTTTTTGGCAAAAACCAGCATGTCTCTCTTGCCTCACACACCTGACCTTGCTCCGTATAACTTATTTTTATTTCTTTTTTTTTTTTTAACTTATTTTTACTTCTGTGAATGCAGAAGGGCATGAAAGGACAGTGATTTGGCAACATAGAAGAGACGAATAAAAAAACAGAGGGACTAATAAAACGATTAAAAACAAAACCAAAAAATACTGAGGGAGGTGCAGTCAGCCATCCAAACAGATGAGTTTGAAAAATGTTTCCAAAAATGGAATTTCTGATTTGGCAAATGTATATTAAGTGTAATGGAGATTACTTTGAAGGTTATAAGGTTGTTTTGTAAAAATGTACTTAAATATGTAGCTTTGGGGGGGAAAATCCAGTTTTGGGGGGGCACCCCCTTGTATATGTATGGCTCTGGAAACATGTTTAAATTGTTATGAGGGCCAGGGTGGGCTCTTCCATCTCAAAAGTTTGCTAACCCCTGTTCTAAGGAGCTCAAACCTCTCTGGTGGTATTCATCCCCTCGTAGGCCGATCGTCTGGCTGAAAGCAGAGCCCAAGAAGTGAGTGGCTTGAAGGATGTATAAGCGCTCCGGCCATGTCTAACAGACCAGTAACCCTCGTCTTTTTATGCGTTTGAGTCTCATGCGTGGTCTGGACCTCCTATTGTGACCCCTCACAGGGGTCTATGTAGACTTTCACCAATATGGCACATGTGCCCGTCCATTTTCTTGTGTCCTCCTGACCAATTGCTTTTATCTGTTTGAGAAATGGATTTAAAAAAAAATAGCTTTGTTGCTGTCAAGACTAAACACAGCAGAAAAGAAGACAAAGAACAGACGCAGCAAAGCAGGCCACGTGCCGGGTAGTGGCACCAGTGACGTTCGTGGAGCTGTGTGACCGTTGTCCCTGTGCTCGTCTGGGCTTTCCCTCCCCCATTAGCACACGTGATCTCGGCCACAGGGGTAATACTCCCATCTTGTTGCAGGTAGATAGTTCCTTAAAGGGTGTAAAGCTCAAGGCAGCATTTTCCACTACTTTAGCTAAGTGAATGCTTGGTTTCATTTAGTATACGATGTAATAAAACATATTTTATTGTGTTTTGGGTGAAAAGTACTCAGCAAATTAGGTTCTCATCTGATACATGTTTTTCAGTGACACTGGTTGCACTCCCACATTGTGTAAAAATTCTAACGGTTTTCCATTCTGGTTGTACATTTTCATTACCCTAGTCCACAACCCTCCTGGACCTCCTCATTTTTGCTTTAGGGTGAATGTTGACTATTTAGTCTCATAAATAATTAAAAACAACAACAATGTCACAGGTGATATTATTTTATGAATCTTTTTATTAAAGGTTGCTCTGGTTGCTGCCAGGCTTTGGCACTGAGCGGCTAACCATAAGGTCAGCAGTTCAAACCCCCCACCAGCTGCTTTCTGAGAGAAAGAAGAGGCTGTCTAATCGTGTAAAGATTTAAAGTTTCGGAAATCCAAAGGGGCAGTTCTATCCTGTCCTATAGGGTCACTATAGTCAAAATTGACTCAGTGGCAGTGAGCTTGGAGTTCTGGGTTATTACATGAATCTGCCATTTAGCTGAAAGGTGACCTCTGGTAGTGGTTTCAGTTCAAAGCATAGTTTCAAACTGGTTCTGAACATTAAGTGTCAACACCGTGCTAGAAACTCGATTTCCCTCTTAGGAAACAAGGGGCGCATGTGCAGAGCAACCAAATCTCTAAAGCAGCGGTTCTCAACTTGTGGGTTGAGACCCCTTTGGAGGTCGAACGACCCTTTCACAGGGGTCACCTGATTCATAACAGTAGCAAAATTACAGTTACGAAGTAGCAATGAAAATAGTTTTATGGTTGGGGGTCACCACAACATGTGGAACTGTATGAAGGGGTTGCGGCATTAGGAAGGTTGAGAAACACTGCTCTAGTGGATAAACATTGAAAAGAGTGTTGCTTCACTCAAAGATGGCAGCCTGTCATACTACCTTAACAGTCCTAGCAATAATCCAACCTCCTACATCATCCCGCATCCTGAAAGGGCTTATTTGGCCTCTTCTGAATCTCCCCATTATTCAGGACTTTACATCATGATTTTTCCTGTTCCTGTTATCATCTTATTTTTATTATATTAACAGTACACACAAATATGTATATACCTTAACATGTACAAATAATGTCCCTTAATCTTATTTACTTTTTAGTATCATCTTTAACATCTGGCAAGCTTTGCACACTTCAATAATACTTGCTAGTGCCTTTCTCAGTGACAAAAATAGTGTCATTGTCTAGCGAGAGATTTCCCCTCCTTCTCTTCCCAAAGAGTGGTACTACCCAAGGATTGCTCATTTCTATATGATTATCTATTTGTCTTTTTGAAAAAGTGAGATCACACAGTATTTGTCTTTTTTGATCAACAGCTCTCACTCAGCATAATGTCCTTCCGATTCATCCACATTATAAGACATTTCATACATTCATCATCATTTTTTTATTGCTGTGTAGCATTGACCCATTTCTTTCTGACCAATGTAACAGATGAAAGAAAACTTAAATTACATTTCTGGTGTCTATCTATATATCATGTCAGTTTGTTGTGCTGTGTGTTGTTGTGATGCTGGAAGCTATGTGACTGATTCTTCAAACACCAGCAGGGTCACTCACGGTGAACAGGCTTCAACAGAGCTTTCAGACTCAGATTAGGAAGGAGGAACAAGTGAACCACTTGTGGAAGATGAACCACTGAAAGGCTTAAGACTAGCACCTGAACATGTTCTGCTATAGTACCAGAGATGAGTCCCTCATATTGGAACCAACCAAACCAAACTCACTGCCATGAAGTCAATTACAGCTCCTGGTGACCCTACAGGTCAGAGTAGCACTGTCCCTGTAGGTTTCCAAAACTGTTATGGAAGTAGAAGGCCTCATCTTCCTCCCTCGGAGCAGCTGGTGGTTTCGAACTGCTGAGCTTGAGCTTCACAGCCCAAGCTGTGTAACCACTATGCGTAACCACTATGCCGTAAGGGCTTCCTCAGTTGGAAGGCACTCAAAATATAACTGGAGAAGAGTTGCTACAACCTCAAAGTAGGTTCAACCTAAATGATGCTGATAGTACAATTGGGGCCTTCATTTGCTGATGTTGTGACTCAAAATGAGAAGAAATAGCTTCAAACATCCACTAATAATCAGAGTGTAAAATACATAAAGTATGAAGCTAAGAAAATTATTAGTTGTCAAAAATGAAATGAAACAAATATATATATATATATCCGAAGCATTAATGAGTGGAAATGGAATAGTACTGGCCAGTTGACCTGGACATCATATGGTTTATTATGCCAGAAACAAGAAGCAGAAAGCACTTGCATCATAGTCATCATTAAATGAACACTTC